CCGGCATCTTCTGAACTTTTTCCAGTTTGCCCATACCCCTTTTGATTGTGTTCAGTCAGCTCTTATCCTCATTGCCCTGAACAACTTTGTATCAGCAGCAAACTTTCTTACCTAAGTTTCTACTTTCTCTGTTGGGAACAGACTGAAAAGCAAACATTATAGCAGTCTTCAGAAATCCAGCCATTTTCGCAAAAGTACTAACAAATCTTAAGCTCACAGACTGTTTAACAGATTAAAAGATTCACCAAATGAAAAGTGAAGCAAAACCAGGAAGAGAAATAAAATAATATCACACAGATACTATGGCAGTAACCTATAAGTAAAACGCTTACATTTGAAGTAACTTTCATTCCAGAAATAGTCCATAAAATTCATAGTACATAGAAGTATGTGTTACATTCCTGAGGATTTCTAGTAAATTGTAGTTTGTAATAATGATTTGGTATATCACTGTATAGAAATGATTTAATGTAAAATGTAGAAGCAGCTCAGGGTAAAAAAAAAAAATGTAAAATTAATTTTGTCATGGGGAAGTTTTAGTCTTATTTAGATTTACTGGCCTGAATTTAGGAAAATAACTGAAATGAATACACAAATGAATATATCTGAAGCTTATTTGACATTCAATGTGGGGCATACTCCACTGAGTACGCTGTCCCACAAAAAAGTCCAACTGAACTTTTTACAAGACAAAGAATAATAATGCTTCCAGACTTTTAAACTCAGCACAAAGCCATTAATTTCACAGTGCCACTTCCCAGAATGAAGATAGTGCTGGAGGTACCAAGTAAAGGAATTACAGTCCATTTGAATTGCCACCCTCTGGGGCTTGTTAAAACTATGACTACTGACAACCATAAACGGGTTATACAGAAGTATCAAGCACAGCATTAGTGACATGGTTGGATTTCTTTTCTCGTGTAAAACAATACGTTGCTCTGCAACACAGAATCTACGGCTTGAGAACAGCCAGGACACTGGAAGCAGAAAGCATGCAGAGGCCACCTAGCCAGAGAACTATGTAGTCAGCAAGCCAACAAAAGCGGTGCCAAAGCAAGATGGCATCAACACAGCAGACTTCCCAGCTCAGACTGTCAATCTAATGAACAATCTAAGCTTTTAACTTTGATTTCTGTCAGCAATATTTCCTTTAGTTCATTCCCTCCTCTTCCTACCACTGAACTCACCATCCTGGAACTTACTTATCTCTTTTTTTCTCCTTGGAATCCTTGTTCCTTACCTTCACTCCATTATTTCCTTTCTTTTGCTTTCTCATTTCTTGAAAGCAGGACATCTTCTCCTGTATTCTTTTCAGGAATTAAAAACTAGTAAAGCCACAAGTACTTAGCTGCTAGCAGCCAGCCAGCTTCCCCATTCCTTCCTTCTCCTAGCAGTTGAAAAGAATAATTTGAGATAATTCTTAGACAGAAAGTTCCTCAGATGACAGAGCATTTCCTAAAGCGGTCTTTTACATTCTTAGAATAATCTTAAATATCTGAAAACATTTTTAGACAGATAAGTCCTGAGAGCACCTCTGAAAGGGACTGTGGAACTTAAATTCACTAACATCCAGTCCCAAGACACAGGTGGAAACCAACGGACTGGTATAGAAAGCACTTCCAATGTAATTCTCTTTTCTATGGATCTAAAAGTAACAAACTTCTCTGCAGAATACATTTTGCCTCTATACTAGAAGAAATTGAGACAGCTTATTGAGTAACTCAAAGGGTCACAGCCAACATCTAACCAAAGCAGTAGGAAAAATCATTCAGTGTCCAACGCAAGACATAACGAAATACCAATAAACAGTGATAGAAAAATTGCAGTAAGAGTGAAGAAAAGGTAACTTCTAATTTAGGATGACTATTATCCTGATCCATGTCAAAAATGTACAATTTGCATAATAGCCCAATCATCAGGAAAGAGATACTTAAAACTTTGCACTTCAATTACTGTTTTATGCCTGTATTTTGCACATATTTGGGAGATATTATTTCATTCGGTATGAGGAAATAAAGGTAGCTAGTGATGATGCAAAAAGAGTGAGTCCAGTGAATCTGGGTGTGCCCGTGTCAATCACAGGAATGGGAAGAACAATTCATTTATTAACTGTTCCAAGCTTACTTGCACCACCTTTCAGCCTACAATGGGACTGAAAGCAAGAATAATGCAACTAACAGGTTTAGTGCTAAATAATCTACATAAAAGGCAGGTAAAGGACAAGAACCTGAAGTTTTAGCTTAGAAAAGCAGCATATCAGGAGAGTACAGTTTTGACACAGGTAGCTTTCACTGCCTTAAAACGCATTTATCAAATGTTTCAGACCTGGCTCTTTGTAAAGGATTTTATGCTTTTTGTCTGTGCTGTTTCACACTGAGCTTGGGCAACACACACTTTTCTCAATGATATTAATGGAGTTTCCACATATAAACCAAAGATCAGTTCCATTTAGCAAGTTGATCCTTTAGCTCCACTGATCACATAAGTGTTTAAAGGGCAATTTTCAAATCACTAAGTAGACCTCATGATATTTGAGATAAATTATAAATCATTCCATTACAAGATGTATTATTTCAATAATTACAGCTATTTAGCTGCTACTGTAATGTTAATCAGGTATATGGAACATTTGCTTATAAAATTTTATTCTTCAGATACAGCATACTGAAGAGTTTTCTGGTAGGCAATCTTACTCCTTTAAATATAGTGTATTTCTCAGCTTCTCTGATTTGAGCTCAATATCACATAATGTCTAAAACCTAAAATTTATCCATGAAGAAATATTCTTCCAGCTTCCCCCAGAAGAAAAATCCCCTGTATGGGGATTCAAGAGCCAAAAAACCCAAAGCATGATCTTTATAGAGATAAATATAAAGCTTACAACAGATAAAAGAAAACAAACAAACAAACAAAAACCCCACCAGATCAGCAATACACCAGAAATCAGTATTTAATTGCTATCATCATATAGTCATTGTTATCGGTGACTACCATATCATGTAACAGATTATTGTAGGCATACCAAACCTCTTTCCCCACCTTCCCCACCTCAGTTCGGATTAGCCTTTAATAATGAGTTCTGTGAAAGACTAAATGAAATGCTCTTGATATTTGTTTTCTGAACTTAAGATCTTTATTTGATCTTTCTGGTCTCAGAAGCAGCTCATTGACATGACATCAATCACTTGTGCTGGAGGATGCCAGCTAAGCTAACAAGGAGGACATGTGGCAATGCTGTTCTGACAGCACTCATAGTGATGGGGTTCTAGCTAAAATACGGTCTCACTTTCCATTTCAGTAAATAAATCTAACTACATTTCCACCCCTCAGAAAAAGAAACAGTAGAGTCTTCCACAAACATGCTCTAAATTTATTTGTATTGTACACAGCACAATGAAGAACTGAAATTAGGCCCATAAATTTAAATATTTTAGTGTTTGCTACTGTCATTTGTTCTATCAGAGTACTGCAACATCAAAAAAAGTTTTAAAAAGAGATTGTGATTGTTAAGACATGAGACAGAAGCAGTCATGTTTTGTTGTTGTTGCACAAGCCCCATATACTGTACTCCTAAAATCAAATTTTAATTTTTCACTACCTCAATTACACTACCTAAAGACTATATATTGTGATCATATATCAATTTTATATAGGGTCCACACTTAGTTTTGAACAAATTCCAGTTGTGGGTGCATTATATTTTTTTCTTAAGTTCTTGAGAAAAGGTGCAGTTTTTTTGATGGGTTCCCTGTGCTTCTCTCCCCCCCCCCCCCCACCAGCATCTCTTTTTACCAGAAAATCCTTCATAATAATAAAGATACCAGTATTTGTACATGACCTGGAATATTTAGATTTGATTAAAAGGCCACCAACTTTTCATTTAAAGGACAATTTCTCAACCATTAATGTAGTGAAAAATTCAACTTTGATTTTTTTTTTTAATTAGTTCCATTTGAACAACCTTATATGAGAATACAATCCTGAAAATTCAGATTAAAATTTAAGTGGAATATTGTAATTTAAATGAATATTCCCTACAAAAGTGAATTTCATTTAATGCAAATATTTCAGTAGACTTCTTTCCATGGTGGTAGTAGCTATTAGTTGCTACGACTGAGAATGCAACTATATCCACTACATAATGTTAACAAAAATAGAACAGTCAAAAAAGATTATGAATTAATTCAACCCTGAGGTAGACTCACTAAAAATGCCCTTATTTAAAAACATTTCCTCCCCACCACCGCCCCCAAAGTCATCTGCCACTTTTAACCAGTACAAACATGCTGCAAATCTGTCAAAGTACCCAAACACACTTCATCAAGGTCTGTATTGGCAGAGTTCCAGAAACCTGCAAGGTGTGCTCAAAGTACATTAAAAAAAAAGAGCAAGTGGCAATTGCTGACATCTTCAGTATAAGATGCTTAACAGAAGGTGTATCTCCCAGCATTCAGGCTGGCGTCTCAGCATTCAGAAGATTAAAAAGTAGCTAAACTTGCATGCTTTGGTAAACACACAAGTAAACTCTTCATTGTTCAAATTCAAAGCAAGGAAGACCCATTTAGCCATCAACAAACTGCTGGTCTACCAACTTCAGGTAGACACAAGCACAGGACCTGCAGCCTTAGAAAACCCCTCTGAAATCTGAATCCAGTTTTCATGTAACAGAGACTAATATCCTTTGGGCTATAGGACTGTAAGTACATTCAGATGAAGGAGGTCAACAGAGCCACATTTGTAAGACAAACTGCTGTGGATCAACTTCCAAGAGACAACTGGATTGTTCAGGTTAAAAAGGGGTGACTGCCCAGAGCACTAACTACAGGTAAAAAGGGGGAAAAGAAAAAGAAATCCGTAAGACATCTCTGGAGAAAGATACTTTCTGTTTACCAAGTCATTTATTCACTGTACACTCAGTGAAGCCTCTACAGCGCTTTAACTGAGCTGCTTGAAAACACATTCTGATAGCAATATTCCAGGTATTGTTCAGATGAGCTTACCTTTGAAGAAGCAATCTTCGTTGTGTATAATGGTGACCTTTTGCTTTTTTAGACAAGCAGCCCTGTGCACTTCGCAATGGTTTTCATAGAATTCTCCGTCAGAACCGCACACAGGCTTGTAATGTGGTTTGCAGTGCTCCATGCACACACACTCAGCTTGGCCAGTCTCCCCATTCACAACGCAGTGCCTACCCAAGCCGCAGTACTTGTTCTCACATGATCCAAAATGGCCGTCTTGACCCATATACCCTAAAACAAACAAACAAAAAGCTTTGATTTTTAGTTGCATTTTACTTAACTGCATGCAAGATACAAATAGTATTGTATAATCTAAATGAAGTGAGACTATGTCTTGTTACATCCTTGACTAATGCTTAACACAGGACAGTGAAATGAAAGTTAATACAACTGGGTATACTTGTGACCATTTTCATGTCTTAGATTAACTGTAATTAAGAGCAACATCTAGTAACAAGATTTACTCCTTATTAAAAAAATCATAGTAAATCATGTCTTTTTAAATGCATATTGAAGCTTGTCACTTTAGGATTGCTGCGCTATTGCATGTAATAGAACAATGCATCCTCTGGAATTTAGATCACAGAATATCTTGACTTGGAAGGGACCCATAAGGATGATTTGAGTTCAACTCTTGTCTCCCACAGGACGACCTAAAACTAATCCATATGATGAAGAGTGCCCTCCGGACACCCCTTGATTTCTGACAGGCAGATAAAAATAAACATTCACACACTGATCCACAAGAACAACAAGAGCTGGGCCAAGGCTCTTCACGTATGTGGAGAAAGGAGAAGTTAAAAAAAAAAAAAACAAAAAAACAACTGAAAAAGGGAAAAGAAAACAAACCCCACACACCAAAAAAAACCAAACCAAAACCCCACACAAAAATAAACCTCTGCTGTGGCAGCAAGACAATGACATTTCAGGGAACAGAGCATGGTGGAAGAGCAGGACTGATATATTAAGCAAATGGTGGCTAGGAGTCAAACGAGCATCTAGTGCTTCAATCAGACAAATGGGATTTGGATAACAAGCAGAGGTTTAAGAGAGCCACAGCAGAGGCAAAAGAGCATCTGCTGGCCACAAATCCCAGTTCTTTCTGCTCCTAGAACATGGAAATAGATCTACATTAGGCTACCAAAGCCATTTATCCACTTTCTATCCTCTCTCTGCTGCTGCCACCATGTAAAGTAAGTGCTGATGTCAGCAGCAGATCTTTAGGTGAAAGGGGAAGTTAAGCACACAGCAATATTTCCATGGTATATCCTCAGTTTACATCTTGGCTGACACTGACCTAACTATACAGTCACTTCTTGTTGAGAAAAAGGGTATGACAGGGGAAAAAAAAAACCCAAAAACCAAACAAACAAAAAAAGCAAAACACACCACCAAAAAACCCACAACTGATTCATCAACTGCAATTAGCAAAACTTCAATTACGTAAGTGTTCCAATACCATAACTGTGTCCTAAAATAAGTATAAAAATAGTAAAATGTCTCTAAATGTGGGAATTGACACTGTCCTTCATAGTTGCTTCACTTTATTCTCTTGCAGTACACTCCTAACTTCCAGAACAAGCAAGAACTTTCTCCCCACATGCTATGTACACCTAGCATTCTAATTCCTTGCAATACTTTTCCTCACAGCCTAGCTGAATGATGCTTGGCTGCCCCATAAGAAATAGCATGAACAAACAAATGGTAATGAATAATTTGGTAGTATTGCATTCATTTTTGAACAGCTAACATGTCAATACCATAGTTTGACACACATTGCTTCTAACCACCAAGAATTTGTTCTTGGCTTCAGTGGCAGAATTAATTCTTCCCGCTTTTTCTTCTTAAGCCTGCAGGTCTCTTAGACCTAAGACAACAGTGGTTTCACTGTTTGCTTTCTTATACTGCATGAATTTTCTATAGACAAACACACTACAGAAAGCACAAGACCATGAAATTTGTCTCTAATATGACAAATGCTTTCTGTGTGTTATTTTATATCAATTTGAGCTCAAGGCTAAAAGGACTACAGATTCACCTCACATGTTGTATACCTGGTGTAACTACACTACCATGACTTTTATACACATGAAAGAGTACAGACCACGCTGATGGTGGGGTTTAACTGCTCATGCACCAAACTGACTTGAAATGGGTTTTATAAGAACACCACTCCTTGTGCCAATGTATCACCATGATATACAAGCAACAGTCACTAACTGGCAGAAATGAACGTAAATCCAATTTCCTTCAATTACCGCTAACCTCAGATTAAGTCTTGCAATGTCCAAGAGTACTTTACAGCACAGGTCATGTACACGCATTACAGAATTTCAGGACTTCGTTGAAGTTATACAACTATTGCAGTTTGAGGCCAAAGCCCATAAATCACCATTATTTCTGCTTTCTGAAATGGAAGATAAAAGTCTGACAACTGATCTGAATTATTGAGAGGTGTGTGGTGATTCAACAATGCATTGTGCTGTATATTGCTGTGAAAGCAGAAACCAATTTAAGGCTTCACTTGGGACTTCCATTTTAGTACAATAATTGAATCTGATGCCTGAAAGCAAAACAGCTACTTTCAGATGAGGAAGAATGATGAGAATGATTTGCATAATATATATTGATATTTAAAATATCAATACATCAACATATACCAATCATGTACATCAATAAACAAGCAAGCTTTTTGCTGTAATGAAAAATTATATGACTTTGTTATGAAATGTTTTATAAATGTTTCCATTTTAAACTATTAACTATTTGAAAACAATACATACATTTGCATATATCACTGCATATGCAACTTCTCCTGAAGTCTAGAGTAAAATTCTCATTGACCTCAACAGAGACAGGATTCTTTGTTCAGACACAATCTTTGCCTTAAGTTCAGTCATTTTTAATGCTTTCAGTATGTTTAACAAGCCCTGGTTTGTGCTATTTTTAATTTAAGAACTTGCAGATTTTCTAATGTATTTGATGAAAAAGAGCAGCTATGCAGCATTTCAAGTGTTCCCTAATATGTATTTGATAAGAAAATTAAAAAGTTTTAAGAAGTCCAAAAACTAGTGGTTATCAGATCACTCATAGCAAAAAATAAAACCCATGCCATGGTTATCAGATCAGTCATAGCAAAAAATAAAACCCATGCCATTTCAAATGAGATGACAAAATGTTCACAAACTTCGATATCAATTTGAAGTATAAGTGCACCCAATTCCAAAAATGTAAGCAAACCAATAAATATTAAATAGCTACTCTGAGATAAAAACAAATGCATTTAGACACAAGTAAAACTTTTTTTTTTAATAAGCTAGTGACACAAACCTGGGATTTTAAGACTTCAACAGAAAACAAGGTTGTGTGTAATAGCATGGATTGATTTTCATCAGTTAAGTCAAAGTCTAACTTTACTGTGAAAGATTAAACCAAATTAGCAGAAGGTACAGGGCACATGCAGCCATCCTGGATTATTCTTTTTCTTTCACCTAAGTGATACAGCACTGCAACTGCATAATAAAGAAATAACTGCAAGGAGCTATTTCAAGTATTACTGAGAGGAGTTCTTCCCCAGATACTTACATTTCCTTTTTACACTTCTCAGGAAATATTACTGAAATATTGGGAAAACATAACTTCTAATTCACAAAGGGATAAGTCAGTGAAACAGAGGAGACATCAGATGTCTAGAGTAGCCTTACTAAGGGGCACTTACTTAGCTATGGATAAAAAGCACTAGCATTCTGTTGGAGCTGGAAAAACTGCGGAACATTTGACCCAAGTACAATGATACAACAACATCAGTGACCTTTCTGTTTAGGTACAAAGCTATGGGAGTCTTTCCATTATCATACAAACCATCTTTTAAACTCATGTGGGCTGCAACTTGCAACCCATCCATGAAATACCTTACTATTTCAGTGTCTTGCAGGAAATTGACACTATTACTGTTCCTTCTTGGAATTATTATTAAAGGAGATATACTTTTGGTAGAGTGATAATGGAAGGCTTGTTTGGGTTTTACGGTTTTTGTCTGGTTTTAATGCTAGTACAGGTAAGTCTCCAGGGACAAAACTGCTTAGGATGCAGCAGCTATTCAGAAGACCACCACGTCCTTCCAAGCTGTAAAACTAATTAATACCAAGTTCTTCTGAAGGTGGTTCTTCTAGCTAAGCATTCAATTTAGAAAATAAACTAGTCCAAAAGGCACATAGGTTCCTGAATGTGGACATAGTTCAGTAATTTAGTAGATAAGCAGCCCAGCATGTTCAATATTAAGAGACTGATTAGTAAATCAAGATGACAAAAAGTCTACCTATGAATCTTAATTTTTTTTCCAGCAATTCAATTTGTATTCCTTATGTGATAAGACTGCATTTGTCAAGTGGCACAACACAATGTGAAACTCTGTACTCATATTAGCTACAAACCTTGGATTTTCAGCCATAAAGGTGTAATACGTATGCATTCTGAGAGGGTCTATAGTACTATAAGCGAACAAAATGTACTTCCATTTGAAAGCAAGTCTGGAAACATTTAGATTATCATAGCCTAAAGTTAAAAAAAACCCAAACCCTACACTTCAAGAAATATCATTCAACATGTATTATGCCTAAAACAGACAAAGCAGCCACATAGGTTTTCAGATTCTCTTGAAACTTAAGCTCTAAACAGACATAAAGCGAAAGAACAAAGAAAAATAAAATACTTTATTTTTAAAAACTGGACAAAACGTTATTTGTTTTTGGCTTTTAAGATAAATTTTAATAAATACAGTTTCAAGCTGTCAGTTAGGATTCCTCATACGCATTTCCCAGCTGAAGGCCAGTTCAACAGCATCCAGACTCGAGCAAATTTTAGGTCATAACTGCATCATTTACACTTGGAAATTAAATGCATGGTTTAGAATGCGAAAGGCTCACAGAAATACACACTTTTTCCTATGACTAATCTGTTTAGAGAAACATTACACAAGGAAACTGGAAATTCATGAGTACGAATCACCACATTGACTAGTTGGCCCTATGTGTTTCCTAAAATAAAGTGGCAACTATTTTTGAGACAATATATCTAGATCTTTTGTAGAAGTAACCGATGTTGATTTCTGAGGTCAACAGCCCCGTTCTCCCTCACCCCCTTTTTATTTAAATGATTTTGTAAATGACAATTCCAATTCTACAGCTGTATTTTTGTTCACTATACTATCTATGAAAACCCCAACCACGACT